ACATGTGAGAAAATGTGACCAACTCAGTGTCCAAGAAGGATACAAAAATGAGTTGTTATCTTGGAGTGATTCAAATAGAAAAAATATTTAAAGATGTGCAATGGATAATAACTGTAAAGGGAAGAGTACAGAGGGAATACGGTGAATAACTAAATTGGAAGGAAGGATAAGGAATACGCAGCATATATGGAGATAAAGAAATAGTTTTAACTCATCTTTGAGGGGATTAGTAACAATTGATTTGGGGGACGCCCCTAAATCTATTAATCTAGATGTATCTCAGTTTCTCCTTTACCTTTCAACAAGACACACACTGCTACCAAAAACCTGAAGAAGTGTACCTACAGAAAACAATACTGGACAAAGACTTGCTTTTGCTTATTGTGATAATTTAGCCTTAAAAATCAAATCAACTGTCTTGTAATTTGGGTTCTACAAAGTGGAAATCTTAATTTGCCCTTGGATGCCGACTGAAGGTCTAGTACAGCAAAGATTTAAAAAGCAACATTTTAGTTCCTTTTTTTTAAATTTTATTTTGTTATGTTAATCACCATACATTACATCATTAGTTTTTGATGTTCTATGATGCATTGTTTGCATATAATACCCAGTGCTCCATTCAATAGGTGCCTTCTTTAATACCCATCACCAGGCTAACGCCCCCACCCAGTTCCTTTTTAATAAGCCCACACCCACTTTCCATTCTGATAGTGATAAAGGATCAGTTTAAGAAAAACAAACAGCCCTGGAGAAAGTTGACCTTTGTGAGGCCTAGAGAAGTTAAGTAGGAGAATAATCTGACCCCTTTCCAGCTCCTAGCCTATACTCAGACAGAAAAGGGCCATCTCTACGGTCTCAGAACTTTAAACCCCTTTACTTATCATTGTGAACACAAAAGAGCAAATAATATTCCATGGCCTGCTGCTGAGCTATCTTAGAGGAAAAGTAAAGGTTACATGCTCTTTGGGTTGCCTTTACAGCCTAATATTAGGAGAGGTAATTCTGCTTCTATCTAGAAATGTAAACACAATTATTATGTGTATGTAAACACAAGTATTTAATATTTAATTCTCCGTCTTTAAAATTCTCATGGCAACACTGGAAGAACATGAATATTGGGTACCATTCTATATCAAGTCTGAAGAAAAGTAAAGAGGAATCAACAATATTCAGTTGCTGAGGGACTAAGTTTATACGACACATTTGGAAGAAAGTGCAGTAAAGAGTGCCAAATTGTTCTGTTAACAGGGCCTTCTCACTTACCATCCCCTTTGCTTAGAATGTTTTCTCTTTTGTCTTTTTGCAAGACCGATTCCTCTGATCCTTAAGGACACAGCTGAAATCTTAGTAGAAGTTCCTGAAATAATCCTTTTTAGTATCTCCAGCCCCTCAATAACATTTCAAATTTAATAAGACCCTAAATAATCTAAGGATTTAAATCTAAAGCCAAATGGAGTGACCTAATTATAATAAAGCACTTTGAATTTGGACACCAAAACTGTGGATAAAATTGAAAAAAGCAGGTATCATTAGGAATATATTTGGAGAGGATTTCTAACTTACTTGAGCCTAGCCAGTCTAGTCCCTGAATGTCTGGCCATGCTTAATGGCCATTAAGACGACTCTAACCAAGTAATCTGAAAGGCCCAATGGCCATCTGTCTAAAACAGCCTTAGATTAACAGAGTATTTACTGCATAGTGCCAAAATTGTTATAAACTCAAGACATTCAGGGAAGTAATTTTTCTTCTGAATGGACAAGTAACAAGCCAGTTTTCTTGAGGATGCCAAGGCTATCAAAATAATTTCAATTCCCTTCTCTACTATACCTTGACTAGGGTAATCAGGGACACTAAAAATTTAACTTCTCTTTTCACTAAGCTTTCTACCCTTTCTTCCTTGTATGATTTTGAGAATAACCAAGGTAACATTAAAATTAACTTATATCTTATTCATAACTCTTTTGCATGAAGTCTATTTATAAAGCCTTGGTCATTTGGAGAGGAATGACGGGGAACACTCTTACTAACCTTATTTCTAGAAATAGAAATTTAATCTGTAGTGAAAGAAGCTATCTTGATGACTCCCATTATAGCTATTATTTAACACCTTATTCTTGTAATTCTTTTCACAGTTTCATTAAATATGCGTATTGGTTTGATTACACATGTTTAAGTCTTCTTTCTATAGCCAGACAGCGGGCTTCTATTCATGTTTCTTTTGTTCTCTTTTATATATTCATTTCCTAAAATACTACCTGGAATATATAGAAGGAGCTAAATAAATATGTATGGAATGAAAGAATTAAGGACTAAATAATCAATGCCCCCAGAAGAATATACTGATTTGTTTCAGAAACACAAAGGATGTTGGCAAAAACTAGCTTTAATATCATTAGAGAAGAAATCTCAGTTGTATTGAGTCTTCCCATGATATTCATTTCTACCTGTATTTGTTAAGGATAGCATAATACAGAAAGTGAGACTATTATAATTTTAATGACGATATTCATTCCTCTTAATAAATAGGGTACCGTCCTGGGACGCCGGGGTAACACAGCTGGTTAAATGTCTGACTTTTGGTTTTGGCTCAGGTCATGGTCTCAGGGTCATGAGATTGAGCCCTGGGAGGGGCTCCACCTCAGCACAGAGTAGGCTTGGGTTTCTCTTTCCCTCAGTCCCATCCCTCTCATGCTCATTCTCTCCCTCTCTCTGAAATAAATAAATAAATCTTAAAAAAAAAATACATAGGGTACTGTCCCAACATGTAACAATATACATGAAAAAGATCATTATAGGCAAAATATTTAAGGCTTTAATTTTTACCCAGGCTACATCTAGCTTAAACTGTGAAAAAAGTATATCAATGGCAACCTGCAGACTTTCCCTTCTCATTTTTTTTTTTTTTTTGAGCCGGAAAAATCTGAATAGTAATAACTCTCTTTGAAAAGCATCCATGTCAACAATCAATACTGAATAAACACAGCCCTCTCTTAGTAAGTATGAACAAACAGAATGATCACTGGAAAGGTATAAGACTTAGAAGCTCTAAATAAATAAGTGATCTGATAATACTAAGCAAATATTCCTATGTGGTTAAACATAATAAAGTTATGGAATAATATAAAATATATTTTAATAAGACTTGCAAAGAAAATGCAAATACAAACCAGAATATGCACTATAGTGAATATATATATATATATATATATTTATATAAACCCCCCCCCCCTTATTTTTCTGGGAAATTCTTTCTTTCACCCTTCAATTATGAGAAGAGAGAAAAATCTGTTATTATCTTAAAAATACTGACACAACCCTAACTCCCACTCCAGCACTCTATCCTTGCCTCATTGATAGGTCCTGCTAGTGCTGACGACACTTTGTTCAAACAGGTTAAGGCATCACTCTGGAGAACCCAGCCAATAGGTGCACACTTGGTAAGAAGACAGCATTATGTAGGAATTGTAAAAAAAAATAACAGCTATGTTTTCCAATGGGCAAACACACAGTGTTACTGTACATAAATTAGCAAGCAAGGTGAATGGATTTCATTCCTCTTAGGCCTTCTTTCATCTAGTGCTCTTGTCTTCTGGCCACAGTTGACTGAACCTATACTGAAACTTGACTTGAGGCAGACCGCCAAGAGCCTGGCTTTAGTGTACTGGTCTTAGAAACAGAGATGGTATTTCATTTTATAGACAAAAAAATCAAGACGTGAAAAATCAGAATAAAACACAGCTCTGAAAGATGTTGCATATTCAAAAAATAAATTTGTGTAATACGAGGTTATTTTTTATAGAAATTATTTTCATTATTAGGAAAATTATGTAGAGAAAAGTTACTTAGTAATGAAAAATATCATCATCTCTCACCCCTGTCTCATTGTCATCATCTTGATTAGCATCATATGAATCTACATACCCAACTTAATTTAGCAAAATAACTGAAGGTAGTGAAGTGGGGGATATGTGATAGTATACCAAATTTCCATATTTAAAACAGGAATGGTGAAAATACAAATTTATTTTCATTAAAGATAATGACCAATTAAGGCAAAAAAAAAAAAGATATGTCATGCTTGAGTTGCAAGAGAACCATCTCCCTTACAAACGAAGGGGAATAACCAAATATCAGCAATCTAACTCAAAGAATACAACACATTCAAACATCTTTTTCAGGAAACTAAAGGCCTGTAGTTTAATACTTAATTGATTATAATCATAAATCAATTAAAAATCATTATCAGTAGCTGTACAAAATATAACTGATAATTTCAAACACTTATCCTTACTAAAAAAAAAAAAAAAAAACTACACTAAGAATAAAGGCTTCAGCAAATGGAAGAAAAAGACAAATATTTTATCTGTCAATATTTTTTGTGTTCCATTCAAAGAAAATACCCAAACTTTCATGTCCAAAATACTGCACCATGGCTTTTGGGGATGGCGCGGGGAGAACGCAGGTAATTGGTTAAGAGTTAGACTAATGAATTGGATACCTGTGGTAGAAATTCACACTTAGACTGAGAAGATGACGGGGTTTGCAAGTAGGGGTTGCCCAGGACCAAATTAAAGGCCCATAGTCAAGTGGCACATTTTAAAATGCTGGGGAAAGAAAAACAAAATAAATCCAAAGAAAGTGGACAGAATACAATAAGGATAAAAGCTCGAGTTATTTAAAAAGACATAGAAACAACCAAGCAAAAAGTTGCTTTAAATAACCCAATACTTAAAGTTTTCACAGACTGATGAAGAAACAAGTTTTAGCAAAAATAAGGGAAATCAGGAATGAAACAGGTGATATAACCGAACCTAAAGCAAACATTAACTAAATAATAGATAATAAATGGCTAGTATCTAACATAACTTGGATAAAATTGAAAATGTCCTTAGAAATAAAAAAGACTAAAAAATAAATGGATCAAAACTGTAGCATGGAAATTTCCAGCTCTCATCCTCCCTCCAAGAACATCAATTTGAACAACTGCGCATAAAAATACCTTCACAGGAGCCAAGAGTTCCAGGTGAGGGGTTGCAGTACCTGGGCGAAGAACAGAAATAACAAAGTGCACACTGAGGAGGGCAGGAAAGAAAGATTCACATCACCTCATCCCTCCTCCAAACCTGGCAGCCCCACCAACTCAGGGGAGGACAGTGAAGTGATGACTGCGCACGGACCCCCAAAGCCGGTCGTCCCATTAACAGGCCAACTCCTAAGGCCTTGGGTGTCTCCTGGTGGGCTCCCACAAACCCGGCCCCTACGCACCTCGGTGCCTCCAGCTGCTTCCGCAGTTGTGGTGGTATTCTGCCACCAGGCTTCCGGCTCCCTGCGCGCCTTACGGCAATGCGGCATTAACGCTCTCCCGCGTGCCTTACGGCAGACGTCCCCGACACCAGGCCCTCCTTGGACCCCCGGGAATCTACGCGTGGGCTCTTGGTGTCTGCTGGCCCACGGCGGGTCGCGAGGCAACAAGTTTCCGCCTGGCTTTTACAAACCCAAGTCTCCCAGCTCCAGCTACCCCAGGCGGCTCCTACGGCTTCAGTGACTTCCTCAGCTCAGGCTCCCAGAGCGTGCCTTGAAGGTAGGCCTCAGCCCACACAGGCATGGGCTGCAGCAGCCCCATATGGGCCCCAGGCGTTTTCCTCGGCACCAGGCTCTCTGCGAGCTCCTGAGACCCCAACCCCTTGGCTTTGGTGGCTTCGGTGGCTTCCTCAGTTCTAGGCTCCCAGAGAGCCCGTGAATGTAGGCCCCCAGCTTACCAGGTCACTGGCCGGCTCCAGCACCCCCAGATGGTGCCTTTATGCCCAGGGAGCTTCCTCAGCACCAGGCTGTCATTGAGTTCTCGGAAGCCCAGTTGCTGGGTCCACTTAAGTGCCTGGGCTCCCTCAGCTCCTGTGGACCCAGAGTCCAGGCTCACCCTATCTGTCAGTGGCTGGTTGACGTTTTTGGGCACAGAATCTAGGTCCTGGGTCCATCACAACAGACTCAAGTGCCAGGCCCACCTCAGTGAACCTAGGCTCCAGACCCGCTTCTCCATGCCCAGGCATCAGGCTGGACCACCTGCGGACCCAGGCACCAGATCCACCTACCTCAGGACTCCCAACAGCAAGTCCACCTGTGGACACCACCAGACTCTTTAGAGGGGCTGACCAGTGAAGGGCTTTGCCTGCAAAAGCCAGTCTATAAAAACTGGAAGAGGTACCTACATCCTCCATTGTGCAGACACCAACACAATCCCATAAGGATCATGATTATCATGGAAACATGACACCACCAAAGGAAACTAATAAAACTCCAACGATTGATCCCAAAGAAATGGACATCTATATAGTGTCTGAGGAACTCAGAATAATCTCAAGGAAATACAATAAACTATTATCCTTAAATTTACTATATTTGCTGCTGGTGGACAGGGATTTTGATAGATTCTACCATGCTAGTTCTGCCAAACTTGCCTGATACTGTCAGCAGAACTCCTATTTGACCCACCAGAGAAGTGAGTCTGCCTGATCTGGACTATCTTCTATTGTTGGTTTGGAGACTGGGAAGTGCCAACCCTGGGCTGTCGCCTTCTGCTGTGGTGGTGTTCCAGTCCTCAGGTATCTCCGTAACAAAATGAATTCACCTTCATACTACTTTTCACTGTTCTCCTTTGGTTTTCTCTTGTGTTGTTTCCAGGCCTTACAGTTGTATTTGAGTCTTAATTATTTTGTCCTGACCAGAAATCCTCAACCACTTCTTTGAGACCTTCCTACTAAAGATTAATATATAAAATTCTGCCTCCTTTTGTATATATTTTTGCATACACAGCTAGCTAGAGGAAAAGTAAATAAGATGTAAATAACGACAACAAACAAAAAACATGGATTACTGAGACTTAGATGACCAAAAAAAAAAAAAAGTAATAGTTTTATCTACAAGAACATTAGGAAACATTCATTTCCGAATACATACTGAGATTTGTTTCTAACTCCAATTTTTAATATTGGTGAAATTCAGAACACACTTGTTTCTTTTGGGAATGCTTTTGTCAATGATGTGTTGTTTTCAAGTGTTCTATGGCTAATATTACTACAGGAAGAAAATTTTCTCTCATTAAAGTGTATTTTAGACAAAATTTTGTAAATGAAGAAGTTAGTGTCACCAGGGCTATTACTTGGATTCATAGATATTTGTTCAATAACCAATGGTGTAGTTTAAGGACTATAAACTCCTTATCATTAAACTGCAAAGATATACCAAGGCTTTTAGTTATCTGACTAAGCATGATTACTAAGAGCTCAGTATCACATTTTATTCTCATTCAGCACCATAGGTACAATATTTCATGGTTTTCAAACTCTCTTAGACTGATATTCAATTGTGTAAGAAGTCCCTGTTTATGATGAGATGGACTTATGCTATGCTTTGAGTCCTTTCATAAAGCTTCTTTCTGTAAAGATTCTGTTCTTTTGAGACAAACTTTAAAATTCTTGGAATTTTCCTGGTAGGGGATATATGTCAAATCCATCTCTATTTTTATCACAATAGCCAAACTGAACAATAACTGTGTTTCTTATTTGTTGATCCTCCTTACTGTGTGTGCTGGAAATTTCTTACATACTTTGTAGCTAAGTTGGAGGGGATTCTAAAATATGAAACACTTACAAAAAATAGGGATGTAAGTTGAGTAGAGTCCTTATGAGGGAGACATAAGCTTGTCCATCAGCTCTTGCTAGGTGTATGATAGTACTAACCACTTATAGTAAGTGTAGTAACTGAGAGATCAAATCCTAACAGTGCAACTGGATAATCTCTAAGAAATTCAGACTCACACAGAGCACTAACTCAACATTGTCAAAACAATTGAATCCAATTACAGATGTCTGCTGTCATCCATCGTATCTATTCTGGGGTTTCTGAAATTATTAATAACTACGCTAGCTATCTTCTCAGAAGAGAGGAAAGTGTAATAGGGGAAAACAGAATAGTGCAGTATATTTTCAAATTAATACTTACACATGGATAATGTGATGGTAGACTTCTCCAGCAATCCAATGAACAGCTGATCTTACGTGCCTTAAAGGTTTATTCCTCTGAGAGAGATAGCAGTCCAATCACTTGATCTGTTTTTGCTCCAACTGCCTTTTCCCAAGAATGTGACTTAGCAAAGCAGCAGGGTCACTGAAAGGTGATACACATTTTATTCATTAACTTTGAATGGAGATGATGCTTTGTACGGCTTCTGTAAGGTCCAAGCTGTAACTAAAAGTTCTCAAACTTCCTCAACTGTCTTTAGGAAGAGGGGTTCTTTGTGGGCTACAATCATAGAATCCATAGTATGCATCATACATTTTGTAGAGTTGACTACTGGTTGAGGCAGTAGCATGGCAAAATCAAATTAATTAGCACACATAAACATTTGTAGTAGTGCCTGGCATATAGTATGCAATAATAAAAAAAAAACCTCTTATTTTTAATGATACCAACCATTTACTTTTTATCTCAGCCAGGCAAAAAACCAGAGAGAATGATCACAACAAAAAGAAAAACAGTAGCAATAACAGCAACTGAGTAAAATACGGACAAAATATACCCCCAATAAATTTTAGAGTCAAGAATTAAAACCAGTCTATCTGATCCTAAGGCTCATACATATAAGCATTTTGCTATTTTGTATGCAGGACATGCTAAATTTATCAACTTCTACTCCCAGAAGTTTGAAGAATTTTGCTTCCAGTTGATCGGTAGCTGTTACATGTTATAGACTTAAGAGAAGAAAATATAGGAATGCAGGAGACTATGTCATGCATCAAGCTGAGTGAGCTAACACTAGCAGCAATTTTTTAAAATACTTCCTCTGCTGGCTTCTCAGAATACAGAACTACCCAAATCAGTGGGGTTAAAAAACACAAATCTCTGCTACTGAACAGCAGGAGAAAAAAGGAAACTTTACTGTGAGAACAATAGTGGCAAGACTGTCTCTGCTTACTATTATACTTGATACAAAAAATTTTTCATCACTTATTTTTCCCTAATCCTTATACCAATACAAATTTAATTTGTACACAAATACATCTAAAACAAGTTTTCAAATTATCTTTTTCTAATATCCTGAAATATTTAGAATTATAATAAATGCTAATATAATAAAAATCATAGTACCAATTATGCAATGTTTTTTGTTTTGATTAGAGAGTATCATTTAAATATACAAGAGCAAATTCAATGATAGGTTCATGAAGATCCAATAAACTTATTTAGGCCATATACACACGCACACTATGGTTTTTCTAAAGCTTTTTTACTATACTTGGTATTGATACCAGTGAAAAATTTCAATCATTTATATGGACATTTGTATGTATTTATAAGGAGAACCAACAGATGCTTATTGTTTCAAACACCATCAGTACAGCCATCTGAGTTTATTCTGGAACCCTTTCTAAAAATGTTGATAAAACTCAGAAATCACTAATATTCACAGCAATATCAGAAATCATTTTGTAGAGAAAGTCAATTATATGGTTTCACTTATTTGTGGATTATAAGGAATAACATGGAGGACATTAGGAGAAGGAAGGGAAAAATGGAAGGGGGAGAAATCAGAGGGGGAGACGAACCATGAGAGACTGTGGACTCCGGGAAACAATCTGAGGGTTTTGGGGGGGGTATGAATTAGTCCAGTGATGGGTATTAACAAGGGCACGTATTGCATGGAGCACTGGGTGTTATACACAAACAATAAATCATGGAACACTACATCAAAAACTAATGATGTACTGTATGGTGACTAACATAACATAATAAAAAAAAAAGAAATCATTTTGGCATTCTTATCATCAGTGTTACAGAATTCGTTCCATTGAGATAGTATGACTTAACTGATCACTCTCATTACTAAAGACCCATGGTTTGTCCCAAGAAATGGAGAAAACCCTCAGTGTGAAACAAAGTAGAGCAGAATGCACACTTTGTGGATTAACTGTTAACAGCAATAGGTTCTATTGCAACCACAGTGTCAGCAGTCACAATCTGGAGCTGAATGCCCTTACACCTCCTTTTCCACCATCAGTCCTTCCACTTCATCAGCTTTTCAGATGACGGAAACCTCTACAAATAACAAAAATATGGGAAGACTTCCTTGACATACCCTGGAAATGGAAGTAAAGTGCTGTAGGCCAAGGTGGAGACAGGGAAAACCCAAGTAGTACCACATACTGGGAATTGAGATTTTTCATGTCCTCACTCCCGAATGTCAGGGAACTAGATGATGAGGATATGAAGAGATCCAACATCAGTCCCACAGAGCTGAAGTGATAGAATGAACACCAGAC